TACTTCGTGATAATAAGTGGTTTTGGGTTGCAGTTCGGGCACTCTGTCACTGCTTCAGGTAGTCCACATCCTGGGGTCACGCAGCTTCCCTCTCCTTGCTGGGCATGGCGGCGCACACTGTACAGCTTACTTGCAAGGCTGAGGCTAGAAGATAGCAAGTCTGAGAACAGTTTGCAACTTGATCCTGCCTCAAAATTAAAAACATGAAAAGGTCTGGGGATCCAGCTCAGACCTTGGTTTGCAATCCACAGTCCTAGAAAACTAAACAAAATGAAATGAAACTAAACAAAAACACAAGTCTGTTCTCTCTGCTTCTTTCCATTTTCATGGCATTGTTCTCATTTCTTTCTTGTGGGTTCAAGAAATTCCATTGCTCCCCGACCTTTGACATCTACTTTGTTCCGGAAGGTTCTCATCACAGCCTTTGAATCCTTCCCTTGCTTCCCCCACGGGCTTCCATGGTGGAGGCACGCACCAGCGGCTGTGGGCCAGTCCTCTTTCCTCCCACGCTCCTGCCTCTGAATGCCTACTTCTCTTTTAAGGCTGACTCAGATTCCTCCTCTGAGCTTCTTCAGAATAAGGATCAACCTAAGCTTTTGAATCTGTTTTAATAGTAAGTTCAGATAGCACGTCTGCAGAAGTGAGGGCCAGTGGATGTTCAAGACTTAGAAGATCCCTTATTTTCAGAGAGTAATGAGCTAGAGTGCAGATGGAGAGTGATATCTGTCCCGACAATGACCCACGTGCATCATAATTTGCTAAGGACCAAGACTGAGAATTTCACCTTTTGTTCTTCATACTGGTTTTCTGCGGGGGAAGGAGACAGAGAGGCTGAGGTGATCGGGATTTTCCCACAGTCACTGTGCAAGGGAGTGGTGGGTCCTTAGAGCACTGGGACTCTGCCATGCTTCCTCCCAGAGCTTTTGATGACAACGGCTACACCTTCTTGGAAGAGGGACCTTGTGTGGTTGGTGCATTCAGCGTCCTACATGCTGTGGCAGTCTTTGAAACGAATCCACGCTTTCTAATTACTAGGCAGAGTGTGTCTCTCGTTACCTTCTATCATTAAGATCGATAACAGGATGATACATAAAATTAGCCATTTTGTTTAACAGAAATTCTGTACGTGGATGGCAAAAAGCTAAACAGTACAACAGTGTATGGAATAAAAATAAAGTTTCATTTCCTTGTACTTGGGAGCCTGTTTTAATCGCCAGAGGCAACCACTAGTGGGTTTCCTGTTTATCCATCTGGAAAATTTCATGTATAAATCAGCATATGTGAATATAGATTTCCCTGGAAAAAAATAAAACCAAGTGGGAGCCTCGGATGCTGTGCATCTAGCTTTCTTCATTTGGAAATGGATTCTGGGCTGGGGATGTGGCTCGGTGGCACAGCACCTGCCTGGCAAGTGCAAGGTCACGAGTTTGAGTCCTATTACAAAAAGAGAGAAAGGAAAAGGATTCTGGAGAAGGTTTTATTTCACACGTATAGATCTACTGCATTCATTTCAAAGGCAGCCTGGTATTCCATAGGTTGGATGTGGCCATGATTGAATGAATGAGCAGGCATTTAGATTATTTCCTGTGTGCTGGCATTAGAACAGTGTTTTTATTTTATTTTATTTTGTCTTTTTCTTTTTCTTTATTATTTGTACCAGGGATTGAACTCATGACCACATACTTGCAAGGCAGGTGCTTAGAACAGTGCGTTAAAGATCATGTTTGTACGAACTCCTTTATTGTCATACTTTGTAACCTAGAGGTTTCTAGGAATTTTTTGGCACAAAGTTACAGGGAGGTGTTCATAAGTCTTTACTTTTAGAATAGGGAAGATTGGAAGGTTATAAATATAGAAAGACTATCATATGCCTTCTCATAAGTAAAAAAAAAAAAACAAAAAACAAAAAAAAACAAAACTCAAACCCAAACCAAACAAGACAGATCAGTAAAAATCCTAAATTTAGTTTAAGGAAATACCCCAAATGTTCATATATTTCCTCATATGGACGACCTCAGTGTTTTGGTTAAAATACTACCTATTGTTTTGTTTTGAAGACATTCTTTTTTGAGGTCTCTCCTTTCTAGGGTCCTCGCACAGTCGTAGCCTGGCTCCTGCACTGGCTGGGATAGAAAAAGCTGCAGCCTGAGAGCAGTGGGGCCCAAACCCTGGGACCAGCCAGGGTCAGTGCTCGGTGCTTGGTGCTCGGGGAGGAACTAAGCTTATTCATAGCTCCAGCTAGCTCCAGCTGCTGGCTCTGGGAAGGGGGAACTCAGACCCAGGGAGTGTCAGCTAACACAGACCTCCGAGCTCTCACTTTCTTTTAAGCTAAGTGAAATCTAACACATAGGATTAAAAGATACATTGCCTCTATATATCATAGGCATGGATAATTGGAAAGTGAAAAATTTTAGCTGGGCCTGGGGGCACATACCTGTAATCCCAGCACTCTGGGAGGCTGAGGCAAGAAGATCATAAATTTGAGTCCAATGTGAATAATTTAATGAGGCCCTGTCTCAAAGTTTAAAAAAAAATTTTGAGGATCAAACTCACAACCTTGTGCTTGTCAGGCAGGCGCTTGTGCTGCTGAGCTGTGTTTCCAGGCCTGAAAAAAATTTTTTTTAGAGACTAGAGATTTAGCTTATTGTGAAGACCCTGGGATCAATCAATCCTCAGTATTAAAAAAAAAAAGTAAAACTATTTTATATTTGCATTAAAAAACAAACAACTTAGGAATAAACTTAACAATAAAAAGACCTGTGTACTGAAAATTGCAAAACGTTGCTGAAATTGAAGTCCTAAAACACAGAGAAACTGTGCATATATTGACAAAATTCAATTATTAAGATGTCAATGGATCCCCAAGATGATCTGTAGCTTTAATACCTTCACAGTCAAATTCCTGGTAAGATTTTTATGTTTTAGGAAATTGACATGCTGATTCTAAAATGTACTGAACAACAACAGAAAGGAAAAAGACAAAATAATCTTGAGAAAGGAATATAAATTTGAAGGATTTGTATGCCCAGAGTTTTAAGATTTGTTACAAAACTATGGAAATCAAGACAGTTGGCTATGGTATACTAATGGAGGTGCAGATGCATGGACCAGTGTTCAAATCCAGACCCAGATTGTATATATATCTCTTCAGTCGAGTTTTGGCAAAGCTCCCATGGTAACGCAGTGGGGAAGCTCTATACCCTTTCCAACGAGGGGCCATGGAGCCATTGCACAGGTAGTGAGTATCAAAGTTCATTTTTTGTGTCAGCTTGCCTGGGCCACAGTGCCCAGTTATTGGGCCAAACATTTTTCTAGATGGCTCTGTTGAGGGTGCTTTTGGGATCAGATTGACATTTAAGTTGGTGAACTCTGAGTGGAGCAGTTTCCTCTGCATAATATAGATGGGCTTCACCCTGCCACTGAAGACCTTAATAACAAAGATTGATCTCCTGAGCAAAAGAGAAATTCTCCCCGCCCATCAGTGTTGGACTTAGACTGCATCCCTCCCCTGGGTCTCCAGCCTGCTGGTCACCCCATCAGTGTTTGGGTTCACCAAGTCATCACAAGCTGTCACTAATCCTTAAAGTGAATCTCACCCTTTCTTACACACACACACACATAGACACAGACACGCACATTTCTGTGTATATCCCATTGCTTCGGTTTCCATGGAGAACACTAATACTGAGTTAATAATGGGTAAAGTACATGGATCAAATCACACAAAAATTAGCTCAAAATGTGGTATAGATTTTTGTGTAAAAGCTCACTCTGCAAAACTTCCAGAAAAAATGTGATAAAAAGACTTGAGATTTTGGATTATAAATGAAGATTTTTTTTTTTTTATAGTCAGAACACAAAATGCTGTAATAGAAAAAGAGAAAAAATAAAAATTTGGGTTTAAGCAAAATGCAAGACTTTTCCTCTTCAAAAAGATATCACTAAGAAATAAAACACAAGCCACAGATAGCATAAAACACCAAACAGTGAAGTAAGCAGGAGCCTAGGCAACCACCTATGAAGAAACACGGCCGCTGTTCCTTGTTTTTATCTCACAGGCACAGATAAGCAGGAGGAAGAGATGCCTGTTCTGGGTCAGAGTGTGTCATCTGTCAGCCAGCGCTGCCCCAGAAGGGACCTCCCATGGGTCTCGACCATGATCTGTGAGGTTCTGATAGGAGATGTGGAGAGTGACCATAAGCGGGCCCGGAGGACCTGACCTGTGCTGGGATTGTCCATCATCAGATATCCTGGTGGCCACACTGGTAGCTGGAGGATGGCCGTCACTTGCTATGTACGTGATATTTCAAACCTGGCAGTGCTGAGGTCTTGTGCCCTGTTGACAATGACTGTCAGAGCTCCCTGCCACCACACCGATCAAGCTACTCCGAGGTAGAAGCTCTTTGTGTTGAAGGAACCTTGCAAGTCAGAGCTTCCCAGAGGAACTGGCAGCCTTAGTGATTGGTGTGAGCCCTCGGGGACAGTGAGATTCTTGGGCACTCCTTGGTCTTGCATGCGTGCAGTTCTTGTGTCCACTTTCCTTTCATTCTGGCCCAGTGTGGTTATCACACTTAGTGGGAGCCCAGGAATGAAGATTATCTGAATTCACATCTTGGTCCCATGACACACTGCACTGTGACTTTGAGTGAGTTAATTACCTCTCAGGATGTCACTGGCCTGGAGCAGACTCATGATTCTCTTGATGCTGTGTGTCTGTGTGTGTGTTCAAAATTTTGGGCCATGATGATTTATTTATTAGTGACCTCCTGGGATTTTACTTGCTTTAAAAAGTACAATGGCCTAAGAAGAAACTTGAGTTAGAGTCTGGTAGTTAAAACCATGGTTCTGGAACTAGGTTTTTGCTTTCAAGTGATAGATTCTTCCTCCTTCCCACTGAATGACCTTGGACAAACAACTTCACTCCTCTAAGTTTCTTCTTTTCTAAAAGAGAGTACTAACGGTTCTTCCTAATTTCACAAATTATTGTGAGAATGGTATGTGATGCATATGTGAAGTGACATAAACTCATCCCATATAAGATGCAATATGGTTATAAGCAAAGGTCTTGCTTTGGAAGGCAGAGATTACAACAATTCCTTTGTTTACCTTCTAGAGAGAGTATGTTTTTTCTTCCTACACTTTACTGACTTATTAAAAATATGCATGTAATACGAATGCTGATTACTGTGTTCCAGTTCCTGGGGACACATCAATGAACAAGTAAGACACAAATTCCTGCCTGTCGGGAGCTTACATTTTTGTCTGGGAAGATAGGTGACAAGGATTAAGAAGGTTGTATATTGCATCAGAAGGTGCTAAGTGCGTGTGAAGTTGGTGAGGAGTAGAGAGGGGAGGAGGGAAGGGACCGGAAGTGTGGACACACTGTTTACAATCTGGGACATCTTCTTGAGAAGATAAAATTGAGCAAAGCATTGAAAGAGGCAAGGAGTGGACCAAAGGGACAGTTGGGAGGAGAGCTCTTGGGGACACCAAGGAGGCTTTGTCACCTGGAGGATAGGGCAGGGAGCAGAAAATAAGGTCCCAGAACTAAGGGGTGAGGTTAATTAAGTACAGATATCTCTGGGCTGTACAAAAGAAGGTGAATGAAACCAAATTCCCCTTGGAGACTTTTGGGTAGAAAAGTGACACAATCTGATGCAATTTTAAAAGAGTAAATTAAAAAGGTTAATTACAGCATTATTTTCTTGGGCAAAGGTTGGAAGCTACCTAGACACCCATCAGTGGGTGCTGGTTAAATAAACACAGCTATTGGAAAGAAGGTGGGAGATGTATGGGTATGCTGCATCCCCTGGACTGAATCTGTGTCTCCCCAGATTTGAGTGTTGCAGCCTAGTCCTCACTTGGCGTGATGGTATTTGGGGTGAGGGCTTTCGGAGGTAATTAAGCTCTGGGAATTTTTTCCCCTGACTCACACACAAAGATTCTGCAAGCAAGTGTCCCTCTGTGAACCTGGAAGAAGATGCGTGTCTACAGCCTGGTCATGCTGCATCCTGACCTCAGACTTCTGGCTTCCAGAACTGTGAGCATTCAAGGTTTTATTGTTTAAGCCACCCAGAATAACTCCCTATGACATCCTGTGACAGTAGCCTGAACTAACTGAGATATGATACGCAGGCTACTAAGCTGGCAACCAGAAAAGGCAGGGTACCACATTGTGTATCATACACACAGAGACTGCTATACTGTCGGGAAACATTTCTAGAAGGGTACAAAGGAAAAAGATAGCTCCTGGGGAACTTAGCGCTTACCTGGGCATACGAAACAAGCAGGGTACATTTAACTCTATAACGTCAGTTTTGATTTAAAAAATTAATTTTAAATTTTATTCACTTAGTGATGCGGGGATTGAAGTCAAGGGTCTTATATACAACTAAGCGCTGAACTTAACCAAACCCTTTGGGTCTCTTTTGAATTTTGAAACATGTGCCTATATTACCTTTTAAAATGCATTATGTAAAAAGTGTACAAATTGGGTGAGGTGGTGTATCCCTGTAATCTCAGCACTCTGGGAGGCTGAGGCAGGAGAATTATGTGTTTAAGCCATGTCTAGGCAGGCAACTTAATCATTTAGGAAGACCCTGTCTTGAAAACAAAACAAAATAAGATAAGACAAGACAAGGCAGCACAAAACAAAGGGCTTAAAATGTAGCTTAGTGCAAAGGCCTTGAGTTCAATCCCCCATATCAGAAGAAAAAGTACATATACTGTGCCAAATCAGCTGACATGAGCTATCTACAAAGTTACCTGCTCTCTCCCCTATCTTCTGATTCCAGGCCCTGAGCTAACCAGTGCCGTGTGTGTTCTCATACCTTCCTCTGCGCTCAGACATGAGTGTGAAGCATGTATAAATCCAACTTCATTTTCTTTTTAAAGCCAAGAAAGCGAACGAAAAAGAGATCATATTATATTCCTCAATCTGCAGCTTGGCTTCCCCTCACGCCTAACACAGCACCCGAGTCATTCTCCAGGCCACGCCAATACATCTAACATCTGTTATTATTTTTTTCAGTAGCAAAATCATCCATTAAATAATGTGTCATAGTTAACAACCCATCACTTGGAGCGCTGTGAAGTTGTTTCTAGCATCTTTGTGCGCATGCATATGGATGGCTGTCACTTCTGATGGTGCTGTAAATAACATCTTCATTCATAACAATAAACGTCTACGCTGCTTTCACGTCCTCCAGCTCAGTTGTTCTGGAAGTCCTGTGGGGCTGGGGGCGGGTGATGAGGCTTCTCATGTGTGAGGCAAGGTTGTAGGGTTAGTCAGCTCGGTTACTAATGTGTGACTTTGGGTAGGTCTGCCCCACCTTCTCCCCCAACCCCAGTCTAGGTCTTTCCCTCTGTTATTAAGAGAATTGGACCAGGTGATGCCAAAGGATCTTTCCATTTCTATGATCTTCATGACCTTGTGAGTTCACAAGAAGAAAGACCATGGTTGCTTTCCTTACTGTTGAAAATTAAGTGCACAGTGGTCTCTTAGTGAATATTTGTTGAACAGATGCATGAATGAATCCTTGGTTTGCAGTCATGCAGCTTGACAGAGCGGAGCTATGCAAACTCCTGTTCTCTTTTTCCTGTACATCACCCTGCCTCCCACCTTAAATATCTTCGCCCCTGACCTTTACGGTGTGTAACCACATCATCTTTTACACATCTAGTGACATTCATGTGATGTGTGTTTCACTCTCATTGTGTCTTTTACTTATTAGGTGCAGGTTCTAATCTTAGCACCAGCATTTTCTATCTGCTGGTCCAAGGCAAGTTGCCTGACCTTATTTTTTCCTCTATAAATACAAATAGAAGGTCAGCACTCGCCCTGAAGATGGGCTCTGATATAAGCGATCTAAAAGAATGGATGCAAACTGCTTAGCGAGGTACCTGGTGGATAGTAGGTGCTCAAGAAGGGGTTGCTATTGGTAGGTGCTCAAGAAGGGGTTGTTTATTGTGGCACACAGGAAAGTTGCTTCACACAAAAAAAATGTGGCATATGTTAGATGTGAGGTGTGGGCCCAGGTGTAGAGCTGACCCAAAGCTGTGTGATCAGGTACCTTCTCTTGGTAACTCATCACAGAATTCCTAGAACATTCATATTGTGGTAGAACTTTATTAAAATAGGTAAACGCATGGTTGCAAGTTGCATTTCTTGCCTTCTTTCCTCTTGGATAGTTACTAGATTAAAAGATATACACACACATATGTAGAACATAGAGTTTTACACGTTGATATAATTCTTATGTTTTTCTTGCTTCAAGTGCCTCAGTTGTTCGTTTTGGTGGCTAGCTTGGAAACTGGGTCAGGAGGCTAAAATAGTTGAGGGAGGAAATGGTGAAGGTAGCGGCAGGCTAAATTTGCTTTTATTTTCTTCATAGAGTGTGAGATTCAACTATCAAATTCTGTTGATGTCGAGTATACTCAGGACATAGGCGGTTTGTAGAGAAAGAGATATAAAGAATTGTTCATCTCAGAGACGCAAATCAGTTAGGGTTTCTTTCATGCAAGCTACAAAGGAGCAAATTTGCTTCACTGTTTCCTATGGCTGAGATGTGCATCAGGAGATGAGATCAGGTGAGGCTGGATCCAGGGGTTCCCACACTGTTACTATGAGCTCTCTTAAATACTGGTTTTATTTCCAGCACTTACCTGGATCTCTTTCAACTTTGAGGTGGTTTTTATTTTTATTTATTTATTTTTGGTACCAGGGATCGAACTCGTGACTTTATGCTTGCCAGGCAGGAGCTTATGCTGCTGAAATAAATTCCCAGCCCAACTAAATTCCCAGCCCTTACCTGGATCTCTTTAACAGCTCCAGACTCACCCTTGTGATAGCAGAAGGGCCTGTGGCCATTGCCAGCCCACATTTTTATGCACCATCTACGGAAGGAGAAAGAAAGTATTTCCTGGAGACACTATACTAGCTTAGAATTGCTCATCTCACACTGGCCTGGTGTGGGTTATGGGTGTTTTGCTGAAACAGTCTTCATTGTTCTAAAGAGTGGTTCAAACAATCACTGTGCACCTGTGGAGGTAAGAGTAGGATCATTTCCACCTCAAAATAGCGCAGTTGGGAAGAGGAGAAGGGTACTTTCACAAAGGCAGGGTGGAGTAGTGCTGGGCAGAGCACTGGGTGCTATCTGGCAAGTCCACATTAAGTATCCCCTGGCCTATTGAAGGGGCACCTCCCACGCATCAGATGTGAATGCTTCCGCTCATTTCACCTAATATTAACCGGATGGGCTACCACTATTGTTTCATCCTCCAGCATGAGGCAGCAGAGGTAGGACCTTAGCAAGTAGGTGGCCCTTTGGTGGCTCCACTGGCCCGCTGTAGAAACACTGTGTCATGTGGTTTTACTTTCTTTTTAATCAAGCCTAGGTTGGGACCTACGTGTGGTTCTGCCTCTCAAAATCATTTCTCTCATGCTGTTTGCTTTACGTGGCCTAAACCCGAGAGATGCTTTTTGAAGCTGATGTTGTTTCTCCATCTTTGGATCATTCTGTTCAGCTGAAAGCTTTTGGGTGGTTTCAGGATACATTTGTGCTTTTATGAGTACATGGAAAAGACAAAGCAATTTTGGTTTAAAATTACCCGTAAAGTGCACTTATCTTTGATCTACACATATTTACTGTTTGTGAATTCCTAGGCTTTTATCTGTAATCTTTGACTAACAGCAGGGCTAGGGTTGCCCTGCTATCCCCCCAGCTTTGAAAAGGCAGAGCAGAGAGATGCCAGAGGAAGAGGCAGCCTGGGGAAAGGTGTTTGGGAAACTCTGCTTTTGACCTCCTTTGCTTCCTTTTTTCCTTCTCTTTCTTAAACTAAATTTCTCCTCTTTTGGTAAGATGTTATCTATTAGTTTTTTTTTTTTTTTTTTTTTTTTGTTAGAGAAAGTACAGTTGAGAAAAGGTAAGAAAGATCCCACTTAGTTCCATTTCTCTTTTATAAATAGCTACTCATCTTTTTGGTGTGTTGTACTGACTTTTTCTCGAGAAATTAGATGCCAGTCACAAGGCTTTTGTAGTAGTATTTTCCCTTTTCAAGTCAGCTAGAGGATTTTTAGAGTTGTTAAGCGTACTTTAGCATCACCATTTTAAACAAAGTAAATGTGCTCATTCCATAGAAGCACTGTTATTACTTAACCCATTCCCCACTGCAGACCATTAGGCTTGTTGCCAGTATTCTTCACTCTGAACGTTGATTGGCTTCGGCTTTGGCCTCATTATCAGTGATTTCCTTAACTTCCGGGGATGAGGAGCTCCTTTGGTGCACCTCATGGTGTCCCCACCATGTCTTTCCTGTTTGCCTTCCCGGAGGAGGGCATTGTCGGTGTTAGTGTGAAGACTCCTGGCGCCCCTGTGTGCTCAGCGCCCAACTTCAGGCAGCTTCTCAGGGTGGGGCTGCTACACTTCCCTTCTAGGCCTTGCTATGGTTCGGGTTTGCTTAGTCACCTAACGTTCCTGTACGAGAGGCATTGTCCCCAGGGCAGTGATATTAAGAGGCAGGGGAAACTTCCAGACCAGAGGTGGGAAGGTAATTCGTCATGGGGCCTCACCCTCCGCACTGAGTTTTCGCAAGAGTGGATTGTCATGAAAGAGGAATGCTCCCCCATTCTCTGGACCCCTGTCTCCCCTTGTCTTCTCTCTCTCTCTCTCTCTCATGTGTTTTGTGTTTCCACCATGTTGTCTGCCATGTGGTGAAGCAGCCAAGTTGTCCTCACCAGAGGCTGAATGGATGGACCCACGCTGTTTTGGGTTTTCAGCTTCCAAAATTTTAAGCTAAATAAGATCTTTTTTTTTAAAAAAAACTACTTACTTATTTATATACTTATTTATTTTTTTTTAAAGACAGAGTTTCACTGTGTAGTTCAGGCTGGCCTTGAACTCACAGCGATCCTGCTGCTCAGCTTCCCAAGTGCTTGTGCCAGCATACACGGTGTTCCTTTTTTTTTTTTTTTTTTTTAATAAAGCCCCCAGCCACAGGTATTTTGTTGTAGCAACAGCAAATGGACAAATACAAGTCCATTTCCTTTGTTTGTATGTCCAGAAATGCAGTTTCCCTTGGATACACTTTCAGTTTTAGGACTTTCAGAATACAGGAGGGCAGCTGGCACTGTTAGTTTTCCTGCATAATAGATATCAGCAGTGTGGTATAATCTCTTTACCTGACATCCAGTTCTCTGGAAGATAAATAATAGGTGAACTTTTTGCTGTATGCTATGGACCTTGGGTTATGTTGGGTACTTTACTTGTTATTAAGGTAAATTTAATCTTGAGTGCAACTCTGTCAGGTAGGTGTTATTCCTGATTTTATTAGATATGTGCTAAGAAAGGCTGTTAGTTTTTCTCAGCTAGAACCTAAGGCCTGGGACCCTCTCCCCCATCGAACCTTAGAGAGACGATACCATCAATTTAAAGTGCTGTAGGGCTGGGGATTTAGCTCAGCAGCACAGCGCTTGCCTGGCAAACGAAAGGTCATGAGTTTGATCCCTGGTATAAAAAAAAATTACAGTGATACTTGAGTTGTGGAATAGCTCTAAGCGTGAACTTCTCACTACATGAACAGTGAAGTTCAAAAAAATTCTGTGCGGTATTTCATGATTTTCCTTGATAGTCCAACCCAAAATCGGACTTGAAAAAAACCTATACAGGCTGAGAGAGAGTCACGGGTCCCATCTGGCTGCAGACACAGGGATCAGAGCTCAGTCTGAGCACCCTCACCCAGACACATAAGATGCTCACGTTAGTGCGGTAAAACATTTGTCATTGTGCTTTTTTTTTTTGTGGTGGGGGGAAGCAAAGAGGAAAACTGGGAAAACCACCATAGAGGCAAAGAGATCACTGTGAAATTTGTTAAAGTCTTGGAAAAATGAATTTATCAGTGTAAGGTTTTGGGCCTTAGAACCAATGATTTTGTTTTCCATTATTTCTTATGAGTAAAAAATATATGCAGTTCTTGAACTTTTCAGTGTTTGAATAAGAATTTGCAATGAATTGATTTTGACAGTGATTATTATTATATATCCAAGTTCCTTTTATATTCCTTTAAAATTAAAATAGCTTATTTATGTTTGCAGTACTAATGGTTATACTCATTCTGGGAGTGGTACATATATATAACACATCTTAATTCTTTTTCCATCTCCTTGCCCTCCCCTCCTTCTCTCTTCTTTTTCCTCCC